CTAAAGGCCCATTGTCAGTGGCTCCTTCTGAGGAGTATGCCAGTATGCTTCCCAGGGAATTGAAATTTTTATTCCCAAGGTCTCTGGACCTCTCAAAAAAATATTATGATAAATAATAAAATACACAGCAGCTGAGCAGTGGTGGGGCATGTCTTTAGTCCCAGCACTTGGGAGGCAGAGGCAGGCAGATTTCTGAGTTCAAGGCCAGACTGGTCTACAGAGTGAGTTTCAGGATAGCCAGGGCTACACAGAGAAACCCTGTCTCGAAAAACAAAACAAAAACAAAACAAAACAACCCTCCCCCCAAAAAAACCCCACCACCACCACCAACAAAAAAACCAGCAAGTGAAAACTATACTGAGTTTTTGGGGACTTGGCTCAGGAGTAGAGTATTTGCCTAACAAGCACAAGTCCCTGTTTTCAGTCTTCAGCTTTGGTGGGGGATAAAAAGAAAACTACACTGAGTGCAGGGGATGTGGCTCAAGTGATGAATGTTTGTTTGACAGGCATGCACTCAGTCTTGGGTTTGTTTCCCAGCATTGCATACTCTGAACATGATGTAAAGCTGGATATAAGAGACCATGTCAAAAAGAGGAGAGGGGTACTGAGATGCCCTTTCCTTTCCTTCCTGACAGACTAGTAGAAATTTAAAGTTTTCTGCTGTGTTGTGTTGTGTTGACAAGCCTATGGAAAGGCAGGTATTTTGATGTTTGGGCTATCCTGATAAGCATCCCAAAGCTATAACTATCAAAAGTGTATGTATATGCCTTAACTGACAATCATCTTCTGGAATCCACTTCCTCACACTGAACTCTTGCTGTAGCCTATGTAGAATTTATGACTCTCCAGCCTCAAAATCTCTACTAACTGAATTACAGACACAATTTCTAATATATTGCCTTTTTCACTCCCAGACAGGGTCTTGCTGTGGCTGGTCTTGAACTTGCAGAGAATCCTACTGCCTTTGACTCCCAACTGCTGGTATTTAAAGATATTAAGTTTCAAACCCTAGGACAAATAGCTGGGGTGCCTATATAACATATCAAAGTGGTCCTGGATGTGAGATTCTCCCAGCATTCCTTAGTCTCTACCTGTTAGATACAGATAAGTCTAGCATACTTTGTCCTCTCTCTACTGCTGCCCCAACTCTCCAGTCCAGGGGCCGGGCTTTCCGCCTTCCAGAGGCTCTTTCCTATATAATATATAATCCAATCTAATCCAGCTTTTACCCTCCTGGTCTCTTGGTCTAGCTCTCTCATCCTTCCTACCCTCATCACATGGCTCAGAGTCAACACCACTCTGGCCTCTTCCAGATGTCCCTGCCTACTCTCTTTCTTCCTCCTGCTCCTGCTCCTGCTCCTGCTCCTGCTCCTGCTCCTGCTCCTGCTCTTCCTCCTCCTCTTCCTCCTCCTCCTCCTCCTCCTTCTTCGTGTGTGTGTGTGTGTGTGTGTGTGTGTGTGTGTGTGTGTGTTTCAAGACAGGGTTTCTCTGTGTAGCCCTGGCTGTCCTGGAACTCAGAGATCCACCTGCCTCTGCCTCCCAAGTACTGGGACTAAAGGTGTGCACCACCACTACCTGGCTTATGCTATCCCTTTTATCTACAATAAACCTCTTCCACCATACCTAGAAGCAGTCATGTCTTTCCTTTTTATTTCTTTTTTACACTCATCTGGTGAAGGAACCCAAGACTGGTCATGTCCTTTCCTTATTTTTTCTTCTAATTTAACAGGCACGAGCCACTATGCCCCACTTCTCTTGTTGACTCTTTTTTTTTGTTTGTTTGTTTATTTTGTTGTTGTTGTTTTGTTTTCTGTTTTTTTGTTTTTTGAGACAGGGTTTCTCTGTGTAGCCCTGGCTGTCCTGGAACTCACTCTGTAGACCAGGCTGGCCTAGAACTCAGAAATCTGCCTGCCTTTGCCTCCCAAGTAGTGCTAGGATTAAAGGTGAGTGCCACCACTGCCTGGCTCTCTTGTTGACTCTTAATGTATTCCTATAGTACCTTCTAAAAAAAAAATTTTGTAAGTAGTGTTGGAAATCCCCTACCTCCTTTTAAGCCCCATGTCAAATTATTCCCTTTTCTATCTCCCAAAATAAGCTCCACTCACACAGCCTGTCTTGGAGTCCCTTCTAGCTGTTCCCCTCTCTGTGTGCCTAAATGTTCTTCATTCATCCCTGCAGGCCATCTTGACTTTGAGGTAGTTTGAATGAAATGTCTCCCATTGTCTAAGCTTTTTGAATACTTGATCCTGTAGGCTTAGATTTTTTTGTTTTGTTTTTTTGTTTTTTCGAGACAGGGTTTCTCTGTATAGTCCTGGCTGTCCTGGAACTCACTCTGTAGACCAGGCTGGCCTCGAACTCAGAAATCAGCCTGCCTCTGCCTCTCAAGTGCTGGGATTAAAGGCGTGCGCCACCACCGCCCGGCATAGGCTTAGATTTTTTTTTTTAAATCTACTTTAACTAGGGTTCTTTAACATTTTAACCTCTCTTATAGCCCATTGACCAAAGGTAGGGGCGAAAGATGGTTAATAAGACAAGGAGGTTGTGGACCTGTTTAGAAGTAGTTCTTTGGGGTGAATTCAATCTTTGTTGTCAGGATATCAGCAGTCCCATCCAATAACAAACACCAAACATGAATCAGTAGCAGCTACTTGAACCAGCAGAACCCGCAAGGCTCCACCAAATATGCATGAGTCAGCAGAAGCAGCAAGAATCAGCTGAAATACCACCAGAAGTTTTTGGCATGTTTCTCTGTACAAAGTGAAGACCAGCAAAGCGTTGCACGGCCAGCGAAGACCAGCGAAACATTGCAAGGTGTAGCAATGCAAGAGCGTCCTTTCACTGTCTGAGGGATTCTATTTATGTCCTTTCCAAATATCAACCACCCTCTCAAGAGTCTGCTTCAGTAAAACATTCTCTCACATACCTGTTTAAGCAAAACATCCTCTCACAAGACAGCATCCAGAAAAAGATCACGTGCCCTTTAAGAAGACAGCGTCCAGAAGAAGATCACGTGCCACAATTGAGTTTCCAAAGAAACCAGAAATTTCACTTCATGATCCCAAGTTGGTAGCTCTTTGGAGAGGCTTAGGAGGTGTGGCCTTGGTAGAGGAAATAGGCCACTTGAGGTGGGCCTTAAGAGTTGTCAATTACTCACACCATTTAGAGCTTGCTTCTCGCCCTTCCCTCTCTTCCTCCTCCTTTGCAGTTTGAGGTGTGAGCTCTCAGCTCTCAACTTGTACCGTCAGCGTCCATCCCTGCCTGCTTTCACACTCCCCACAATGGTAACGACTTCTTATCCCTCTGCACCTGTAAGCCCCAAATAAACCCTTCCTTCTATAAGTTGCCTTGGTCATGATGTTTTATCAGAGCAACAGAAAAATAACTAAAGACAGATCTCCACCTACAGCCGCCCACTAAAACAACTTCACCATCAGTCTATGGAAGCCACCTGCTCTAGTCTCTGAGAAGGGACTGTATCAGTCTGTATCCTTGCTCCCCACCTCTCAAAATCGGAAGCAGGCGAGAGACAACGCCATTTTATCACAGATGAGAGGCGCTGGGGAGTTAAGGAATCCAGGTGTTCATCCTGTCAGTAGTGGAATACAAATGATAGTCTCAGCTTAATTGACAGGAAGTGACTGGAGGGAATCCCTTGCAAAGGTCTTGTGGGGATAGATAAACCCAAGAGTCAGCAAGGCTTTGAACAATAGAGTGGGGCTTGCCTGTAAAGAAGTACAAGCAGAGTTCTAGCCAGCTGAGCTGGAAGTTATAAGAAATGCAGACTTTTATCCCAGCAATGGGGAGGTAGAGGCAGATGGATCTCTGAGTTTGAGGCCAGCCTGGTCTCTGTCAGAGTGAGTTCTAGGATGTCCACAGCTACACATAGAAACCCTGTCTCAAAAAGAAAAAGGGGAAAAAATGCAGGCAGGAGAAATATTATGGATATAAGCGTTAGGATGCTGCCCCAGACAGACTTCTCTCTAGCAAACAAGACACCAGACTTATAGAGAAACTCCAGTGTCCACAGCTCTGAGACTGGACAGTGTGAAAGGTGCACATAGGGATGCTGATACTCACAAAAGCTCAGGATTCTCTCCTCCTGCAATCTGAAGGCCTTCTCCTACTTCCTGGCCCTTAATCCCACTACTGGATGTGGGAGGTGTCAAACACTTTCCTGTTTTTTACTGCCTGGTCACAAGGTACTTGCAGGCTGGGCCAGAAGAGACACTGATGGTCAGTCTTGCTGATAATAAGCTGCTAGCTCAGGGAGACACTCCTTGGACTGGCTCCAAAGTGACTGTGCAATTCTGTCCCTGCCTAGTGGTCAAATGATCCTAGCACTCGGACTCCAGATGGGTACAACACTTCAACATTCAGAGCAGTGTTAGGTCTCAACTGCAGTCAAACAGCTAATGAAGGTGCCTATGCAGGCTGCCTAGTTCTCCTAGCACCCCCAAGTCTCCCGCTTGTTTCAGGTTCCTTCTTGTTGGCACACCGGCTCCCTGATCTAAAATTTCTCCAGCCCATGACCTGGGCCACCCTTCTTCCAGTAGCTATTCTCTATATAATCCAGCCATTTTGGCTACGCTGGGTTTTTTTTTTTGGGGGGGGGGTTCCCTTTTGCACTTTGGGTCTCCTGACTCTCCCCTTGCCCCTCCCCCATCTCCTCACATGGCCTAGCTCAGGGTCATGTTCACTCTGGACCCTTCCAGATGCTTCTGGCTAGGCTATTCTTCATATCTACAATAAACTCTCTTTTCCACCATACCAAGGAACAATCATGGCCTCTTTTTTATTTCTTTTCTTCCTCACTCAGGCAGGCCACCAAGGCTTACGGAAGGGCAGGGGTTCGCTCCAGGCCCTGAGCTCAATCTTCAACTCAAATCCTCACTGGAAAGATTACTTATTCAGAAGCTGTGGAGCTCAGGAGCATCACCCAGGGGCAAACCTCACTCTTACAATAGAGGAGCCATTAAGGTCAGTTAATAATCAGCCCCAGACAGAGACAGCTTAGAAGAGCCTCCAGCTTTAGGCATGCATAGATACCTGGGCCACCCTTCCCCAATCAGCAGGCTGATCTGAAAGTATGAACAAGAAAGGAGGCTGAAGGTTCTAGAGGTCCCCAACTTGTGATCTTCAGCGGAGAAACACTCCTGGCGTGTCTCGGGACTCAGGTATACTACTGAGGCCACAGAAAAGGGCAGCAAGACAGAATCAGGGACCTCCTGGGAGCCTGTCTTTTCTTTGTAGGGCCTTCCTCCAGAGGCCAAATTGCCCTCTCCTTCCTCCTTGTCTTCCTCCTCTCCTTCCTCCTTGTCTTCCTTCCCCTCCTCCCTTTTCTTTTTCTCCTGGCATTCACCAATGTACCTGGTCTCTATTATCTCGCCTAAATTTCGATTGAGACAGCTCCCACATCTATGTCCAACTTGAAGCCTTCCTCTGGGACCACACACACACAGGTACTCCACATTTTCTCCTGCTCAAATCTACTCCCCACTTCTTTTTCCAACAGCAGCAACATCCTGGGCTCCCAGTAAGGGATAGATGTGTGGGGGTTCTGTTTTGGCTATAGTATAATTAGCTCAGATCCTTAAGGGCTCCCCTCTTGGCCCTGTAAAGACCTGTCATAGGACTAGGAGGTAAGTGAGTGGAGAAGGGAAAGGAGCCTGGGCTTTCACGCCACGGAGGCTCTGGTCAGAAGGTTTAGATCATCAGTGGTTTTGTGACTGGAAGTGGGTGATAGCCTGACTGGTGAGGTTGGGGGAACTAGTAGCTGGGAGAAGTTGGGGGCATGGGATCTTCTGATTCTTTATAGCAGATCTGGAAGTTGGAAGCCTGTGTTCTAGTGATGGTCCTGCCATTGGCTCTGGTGTGGTTCTCTGGGAGTCGTTCTCCTCATTTATATAACAGGACATGGATAATGGTAGTGGGTGTGATTATCTTAAGGGATCTTAGCAGCTCGAGGCACAATTTGAGGTTGTTTGTTTGTTTGTTTGTTTGAGACAGGGTCTCTCAGTGTAGCCTTTACTGTCCTGGAACTCTCTCTCTGTAGATTCGGCTGGTCTCAGACTTACAAAAATCTGCCTCCCTCTGCTTCCTGAGTGCTGGGATTAAGGGCATGCACCACTACAACCAGGTTGCTTGTTTATTTATTTGCAATGCTGGGATTGAAACTGGGACTTCACACAGCTAGGCATGTGCCACCACCCAGCTGTTTGTTTGTTTACTTGCAATGATGGGAATTGAACCCAGGGCCTCACACATGCTAAACAAGCCTTTGCCATGCACATCCCAAGAACAGACCCTGTACTATTAATCTCATCCCTACAGAGGCCTAGTGCTGCACACATGCAATAATTAACAGCTGAGTGGCCTCGCCCAATCTCAGGCTCCATTCCTGGGCTCCATTCCCACTAACTGCTCCGCCACTTTGTCTCCTAGGCCACTAAACCTCAGCAATCTCCTGGAATAAAAAAAGCAAAGGAAGCCTAGAGCGGAGATGAAGAAGCCTGAGGCACTCTGAGAGCTGCCACCTTTTCCATTTTGCCGCTTGACACTTCTCATCAGGAACCACATACCTGAAGGTATTCCAATAGCATATGTTAAAGAATTTGCTGAATTGGAAGTGATGAAGGCCTGAAAAGAGCACAGCCAGCCCAAGGTTCAACCGTAAGGTAGTAGGTGGTGTCTGTCCTTCAGCTAGTGCTGAGCTCTCTGCTCTCCCAGTCTGGGGCCCCTAGGTGTATGCGGGAGGGCGTGGTAATGGTGGGGTGGACCAGGATAAGAAAGTGTGACTAGGAACAAGGTGAAGACCGCAGGATTGCAGCTCACGGAGAGACAGAGAACACTGCCTGAAGGGAGTCAAAAAGGAAAAAAGTTTTAAAAGAGACCACTGACTGGTAAAGATCCAAGTGGGGGAGGGGGACTCAGCCAGGGCTCGGAACATTTTGTAGGAGGAGGGGCTGGGAGAAAGGGTCAGATTCGGGTGGGTAGTCCCTGCTGGGGGACTTGGAGCATCAAACTAGGTCCAGTTGGTTGCACATAGATACAACTGGCCTTTATTTGGAGACAGTTTTGTTCTTCTATGTTTAATCCTTGGGTGAAATGGCCTGAAGATATTTGTGTCTGTTTTCCGCATGGTCAAGCAGGGAGTGGAGAGAAGACTGGGCTGGGCCAGGCTTTCTGGGCTTTAACCTGTGCTCCGAGTAGGTGGGTCATATTTTACCCAGCAGGAGTTGAAGACTGCCTGGTGCCTCAACGGGACTGACTTCCTGGGCCTGGAGTTGGAGGTTAGAGTAAGTAGATTAACAGCCGCTCGGCTGGGTCCCGGAGTGGAACCGCTCGGCTGGGTCCTGGAGTGGAACCGCTCGGCTGGGTCCCGGAGTGGAGGATTCGGTGAGAGGATGAATGCATAGGCGGTGGGATGAACAGAAGTCTGGTTGGCTCTGGGGGTATAAAGCAGCTGTAATCCTGTCTGCTCCGGAGCCCGAGGCAAGGAGATTGGTCACAGAGTGAGGTCAAGATCAGCTTGGGTGACTTAGTGAGACCCTGTCCCAAAATGAAACCTGAAAAGGTTTGGGGTAGTCTAGCAGTAGAGTACTTACCTAGCAAGTACAAGCTCTTAGGTTCAACACTCGCTTCTACAGAAAGTGAAGGGCAACGGAACAGTGCAGAATAACGTACTGTGAAGCAGAGAGCAGAGCTGAGCGGGCATTCAATCCCTGACTCGCTCTATGCCTCGCTCGCTCTATGCCTAGCTCTATGCCTCCCTATGCCTAAGCAGTCTGAGAATCCTGTCAGGACACCCAAGGTTTTTGTTATTATTTTGCTTGTTTGTTTTTAAAGACAGAGTTTCTTTGTGCTGTCCTAGAACTTGTTCTATAGACCAGGCTGGCCTTGAACTCACAGATATCAAGCTGCCTTCTGGGATCAAAGCCACGTGCCACCACTGCCCAGCTTGCTGTTGTTTTGTATGTTGGGATTTCACCATCCTAGGCTGATTTCACATTTGGTATGAAATTGAAAATGACCTTGAATTTCTAATCCTCCAACCTACCCCTAAGTTCTGAGAATTCACTGCCAACTGAGCTATATCTCCAGTCCCAGATACCAAGGTCTTTTTGGTCTGTTTTTTTTTTTATTTTTTTTATTTTATTCTGAAATAGTCAGATTATCTCTGTAACCTTGGCTGTCCTGGAACTAGCTCTGTAAGCCAATCAGATCTGTCTGCCTTTGCTGGGACTAATGGTGTGCTCTGCCGTACCCAGCTGGACAGAAGTTTTAAGGTAAATATGGTAATATGGAGATAACATAGGCCTGTGAGCTGGGAAGTCCAAACTGAAGACACGACCACTTCAAGGTATGGCTGAGGGGACTATTGTAGGTAAAAGGGAGAGCACAGCCAGAGGCATCCGCAAGAGTCCAGAGAAAGTAGTAGATTAAAAACGGGTATCGGACTGAACTAGGCCATGAGAGAAGAAAGGGGGAGGTGGTGAACAGGGATAAGAGGGAGGGGACCCAGAGAGGAAGACAAAAGAGAACATAGCTGAAATACCAGAGTTCTAAGGGAATGAGGTGGGTGGGGGGGAACCTATGAGTCGAGAGAACTTTAGGAGAGGAGGCAGGGTAAGCAGAGCTGAGAGAAGCCACAGGTAGTGATACTGAGGGAACCTGGAGCCAGCAGGCACTCTGGTATGCTAATAGGCACCACAGATAGCCGAGTGCGAGTTTCTTTTGGCCCTGACAGGAAGTACATTTGAGACAGCTTTAGCAACTCCTGAATGAAACATGGACTTGCAGGGTGGTGTAGAGGATTTGAAACATTTTAGCAATTTGGAGTATTTGAGGGGGGAGGGGACAGGTACAGTCAGTCACTTTCCAAAATTCAGTGTCTTAAATCAGCTGAAAGCACGACCGCCAAGAAAATGCTAGCTCTGCGGGAGGAGGCTCCTAAGTCTCCCAAGAGTCTCTGGGAAGGGCCAGCGGCAAACGATGTGAATTCCAACACTCAGGAGGCAGAGGCAAGTGGATCTTTGTGAGTCTGAGGCCAGCTTGTCTACATAGTGAGATCCAGAACACCCAGGGCTACACAGAGGAACCCTTTTTTTTTTAAGCCAAAACCAAAACAGAATAACGAGGACAATCTTTAAAGAAAGAAAGAAACAGGCCGGGCGGTGGTGGTGCACGCCTTTAATCCCAGTACTTGGGAGGCAGAGGCAGGTAGATTTCTGAGTTCAAGGCCAGCCTGGTCTATCAAGTGAGTTCCAGGATAGCCAGGGCTATACAGAGAAACCCTGTCTAGAAAAGAAGAAAAAAAAAAGAAACAAAGAAACAAAAAAGAAAAAACCCTGGGTGTGGCTGAACATATTTATAGTTTCAGCTCTGTAGCAGGTCAAGGGAATCTCTTCCGCTCATATTTTTTTTTTTCAGTTTTTTTTCAAGACAGGATTTCTCTGGATAGCCCACGCTCCCCTGGCACTCTTCTGTATACCAGGTTGGTCTCAAGTTAAAGATCTGCCTGCCTGTGCCTGCTAAGTGCTGGCTCAAAGGGGTGCGCCACCACACACACAGGTGCGCACAGGATTTTGAGGATAGTCTGGGCCTACAAACAAACAAATTCTACAAATCTACAATTTATCTGTAGCTTTTTTTTTTTTCTTTTTGAGACAGGGTTCCTCTGTGTAGCCCTGGCTGTCCTGGAACTCACTCTGTAGACCAGGCTAGCCTTGAACTCTCGAACTCAGAAATCTGCCTGCCTCCCAAGTGCTGGGATTAAAGGTGTGTGCCACCACCGTCCGGCTTATCTGTAGCTTCTTAAAGTTTTTGTTGTTTGTTTTGTTCTGAAACAGTATCTCACTCTGTTTGCCCTGGCTGTCTTTTAACTCAGAGATCTGTCTGTCTCTGCTTCTCTAGTGCCGGGATCAAAGGCATGTACCACCAAACTAATATTTTATTTTTTAAATTTTTATACAAAGTCGGTTGGTATCAAAATCTGATTTGTCAGTCATGGTGGTACAAAGGCAGATCCCTTGTGAGTTCAAGGCCAGCCTGGTCTACACAGCAAGTTCCAGACTAGCCAGGGCTACATAGTGAGACCTTAATTAAAAATCCAAACCAAAATAAAACAGAATTCCCTGAGTTATGTACTATAATGGATCTAGAGAGATGATTCAGGCGGTAAAGGCACTTGCTGACAGCCTGAGTACAATCCCTGGGTCCCTTATGCTAGCAGAAGAGAACCAACTCCTGCAAGTTGTCCTTCTACCTCTATATACATGTTCAGGCATGTACATGTGTATCCCCAAAACAAACTAAATAAACACTTGTCAAAGCTTTTTAAGGAAGAAAAAAAACTGACCTGGAAAAAGTGAATGGGGATTATGTTTAGTTTTATTTATCCTTTCTTGTAAGATAGGTTTTGATTGTGGGCTGGAGAGATTGCTCAGAGGTTGAGAGCACTGATTGTTCTTCCAGAGGTCCTGGTTCAATTCCCAGCAACTACATGGTGACTCACAGCCATCTGTAATGGGATCTGGTGCCCTCTTCCGACATGCAGTCATATATGCAGGCAGAACACCGTGTATATAATAAATAAATAAATTAAAAAAAAAAGATAGGTTGATTGCTGTGCTGTCACATGAAAATCATATCACCTTTTATTATATTTAAAACCATATAGAATCATGCAATTTATATATTATATACAGTTTTTATATAGCAATGCAATGTACATAGTCAATAACACTATAATTCAAAGAATTTAAGTAGTTTAAAATGGAATTTGCTGCTGGGCGATGGTGGCGCACGCCTTTAATCCCAGCACTTGGGAGGCAGAGGCAGGTGGATCTTTGAGTTCGAGGCCAGCCTGGTCTACAGAGTGAGCTCCAGGACAGCCCAGGCTATACAGAGAAACCCTGTCTCGAAACACACACACACACACACACACACACACACACACACACACACACACACACAAAGGAATTTGCTAATCCCACTGGGCAAGAGTAAGAACATTACCACATTTTTTAGTCAAAGTTGAAGCAAACTTTATTAAATATTGGCCAGGACAATAGACACTGGCCAAATCCATACTCATGATTCCTAGGGTATGGCACTGAATTACATTAGACAGATGCTTATAAAGGCAATACCCCAATACTTCCCATCTTTGTCCAATCGGGGCAAACACACATCCAGACGTACTTCCTTCCTACATATCTCCCACCTATGTGTGATCAAGAACATCCTGTGCGATTTGGGCAACCAAGCTTGTTTACAGAAGTAAAAGCTTGTGACTGGTTATGAACAATAGTCCCCAGCATTCCAAGAAGTTATGTCCTTACTCAAGTCGTGCTTACAGATCAGAAGCACTTTTGTTTTATAGATCTTTTCAGCACAATAATTTCAATTTACAACACCACAAAGTGAGGACAGGAGAGACAGTTCATGGGTTAAGAGCATTGGCTACTTTTACAGAGGACCCACATTAGATTCCCAGCACCCATATGGTGGCTCACAGCCGTCTCTAACCCTAGTCCTAAGGGATCTGATACCCTCTTCTGGTCTCTGGGTACACTGTATGCATGTGGTGTATAGAATACATGCAGGCAAAACACTTCAGAGTGGGTCAGTATGACAAATGCTTTCAGTGACTAGCTGTGTCTAGATCCTATTGCACTGATGGTCATGAAGTGGAAACATGGGAGAAAATGAACTTTATATCCTCCTTCATGACTTTTCTTCTTGTGCCTGCCTCCTTTCTCATCAACTAATATTATGCTCTTGGTTTCCTCTCTAAATTTTTAAGACTTTTAACCCACACCTAAACCTGTATCAACTTTTTTTTTTTTTTTTCCTGAGACAGGGTTTCTCTGTATAGCCCTGGCTGTCCTGGAACTTACTCTGTAGATCAGGCTGGCCTGGAACTCAGAAATCCGCCTGCCTCTGCCTCCCAAGTGCTGGGATTAAAGGCGTGCACCACCATCGCCCGGCTTTTTTTTTTTTTCCTGTATCAACTTTTATAAAAAGCTTTTTTTCTCTTTTCTTTTTTTCTCAGAGCTGAGGATCAAACCCAGGGGCTTGCGCTTGCTAGGCAAGCACTCTACCACTGAGCTAAATCCCCAATCCCTATAAAAAGCTTTTAAAAGCTTCACACTGAAACATTTGCCTCCAAAGATTTTGAATGTGGGCATGAGTAAACTCTGGTTTTGCAAATGCCCCATCTCTTACTTTTGAATTGCCTTGTCTGAGTCTCAGGACCACTAAAGTCTAACAGGCTCTAGCCAGTGACTGTCTCTAGGGTGTCTGATCCTCATAGGCCTGGGAAGACTGACAGGAGGAGGAGGCTCCATAAGTGCAGGCTCCACCCACGGGAGCTGAGCACACACTTGGAGGTTCCACTTACCTTAGCTCTGCCTTCAGGATCTGACATGGCTCACCTGATCACTGTGCAGTTGTTGCTCCTGCTGACGGCGATGGCCGAGTGTGCGCAGACCAGAGCTACTCGGGCCAGGACTGAACTTCTCAATGTCTGCATGGATGCCAAGCACCACAAAGAAAAGCCAGGCCCTGAGGACAATTTACATGACCAGGTAGGACAATGGGTGACATACGGCTGACTGCGGGTCAGGAGAAAGAAGTATCTAGTCCCATTTTACCGTGGAGGTGGTTAGACCTGCCTGAGGAGGGAGACCTTCAACCGTGGGTGACTTTGACAATGCATATTGGCTACCAACTGCCAGCATAATGCTATCAGCTCATCTTCTTGGTAGCTAGGTTTTGACATTGCATAAATAAGGAAGTAGATTCAGGGAGGAACTTGGGAAATGGAACAGGCAGACCATTGTGGTGGTTTTAGGTTTAAACTGATTGAGAAGGATGCCTCTGGGAGTCTCAGGGAAGGGGCTGTATGCTGCTCGCAGTCATTTTTCTGCCAGCCTTTGAAGTCTTGAGGAGACTCTCATATCTGAGACCGGCTGACAAGCATTTGGAGTCAGGCATCTAGCAAACATTTGGACTGTGGTCCTCAGCTTGAGGGCTTGAGGGCTTAAGGGCTCTGTGCTATAACAGTTGTTTGCCATAGTGCTTTTATTATCCCAAAGCTCACTAAATATTTAATAAAATCAGTGTGATGCAACAACTTTAAAGTAAACCAGCAGGAGATCAGTTATTGGGGATGTACGATCAGTGTAGACAACAAACTGGGAGTGTCTCAAAAAAGCCAAGAATGAGGGCTGGAGAGTTGGTTCAGTGGTTAAAAGCACTGGTTGAGCTTCTAGAGTACCAAAGTCTGATCCCCAGAATCCAGGTGGTGGCTAGCAACCATCCATCACTCCCTTTCAGGGGATGCAATGCCCTCTTCTGACCTCTGCAGGCACCAGGTGTGTTGGTGATGCAAAACAAGCATACACATAAAATAAATAAAGCTAATAAGTAAATGAACAATTAGGGTTGGGGATGTAGCTCAGTTGATAGAGTACCTGCATAGCAATCACAAATCTCCAGCACCAAATGAAACTGAATGTGTTGGCACATAGCTGTAATCTCAGCCCTGGGAGGTGGAGGCAGGAGGATCAGAAGGTCAAGGTTACCTTCAGCTACATAAGTGAGCCAGCCTGGAATACCTGAAGCCCTATCAAGAAAGGGATAAAGTGAGATCAGAGAGGGATGGGTTTTTTTGTTTGTTTGTTTTGTTTTGAGATAGGATTTTACTATGTAATTCTGTGACTCTCACAGAGATTTGTCTGCCTCAATCTCCTGAGTCCTGTGAGATTAAAGGTGGACATACTACAACCACAAAAAAAATTTTTTTTTAAGTTTCTTGAATTTTATTACCCTTGGCAACTATAAAGTAAACAACTCCACAAAAAGCATGTAAAAAAAAATTTAAAAAGCAAAAGTAAAGCAATTTGTATCATGCACTTCAATGTATAGATGATCATGTTGAGTCTACTAGCCGAGAGTTGTCACAGTTCTTTTTGCTGCTGTTTTTTTTTACTTGTTTTTGTTTTTATGTATCTGTTTTTATGGTATTTTGCACACACGTTTGTGAATCAAAGATGTGCAGTGCATGCAGAGGCCAGAAGAGGGTGTTGGATTCTCCACAACCAGAGTTACAGATGATAGTGAGCCTCCATGTGCATGCTGGGAACTGAATCCAAGCCCTCTGCAAGAACAAGTGCTCTTAACCTCTGAGCCATCTCTCCAGGCTCTATTTATTTTTTTGTGATACTTTAGCTAAGCAGTGGTGATGCATGTGTTTAATCCCAGCACTCAGAAGGCAGAAGCAGGTGGATTTCTGAGTTTGAGGCCAGCTTGGTCTACAGAGTGAGGTCCAGGACAGCCAGATCTACACAGAGAAACCGTATCCTAAGTAAATAAAAAAAGTCCTAAATAAATATTTAAGATTTATTCCTTGAGAATTTCGAACGTGCATACAATGTATTTCCATCATGTGTGGCCCAGACACACCTGTCCTTCATGTTCTCCTTGCCTTTTCCTACGATGGGAGCATGGTCAGCCTACCTTGGAGCAGACTTGATTCTTCCCCAGGAATCACCAACTCTCAATAGCTCCTCAACTAGAGATGAGGTTCCTATGTCCTTCTCTAACCCATTGCTGCTGCTAATTTGTTTGTTTGTCTCTGTGAGACAGGGTCTTGCTTGTAGCCTGTCTGGCCTGGAACTCAAAAAGTAGTACAGGCTGGCCCCCCTGGAATAAAGGAATTAAAGGCGTGTGCCTCCATACCTGTGCTACTGTTTTTGAAACACCGAGTACAGGGTTGCTAGTTTTAGATTGAGCAGTGGCTACCTTGAGCAGGCTTAACTTACAAACTTATTCAAGCCTTACTTATTTTCTTTTAAATTTATTTTTGTCACTTGGGAGGCAGAGGCAGGTGAGTGAATCCACTGAGCCACAGGGCTAGCCTGGTCTACGTAGCAAGTTCTGGGTAAGCTAGAGCTATATAGTGAGACCTTGTCTCAAAAAATTATAGATAAGTAAATAAGTAGATTTTTGTTCATGTGTAGGTGTATGTGTCTGTGTGAATGAATACCACACATGTATGTATGAGTCGTGGTGAGGCTAAAGGAAGGCATCCAATTCTTTGGAACTGGAGTTACAGGTGTTTTTGAGCCAGGACACAGGTGCTGGGCAGCAGACTCTTAAATGCTGAGTCATCTCTCTAAATTCTTAGGATTATTTTGTTTTTGTTTTTTAAACCAGGCATGGTGCCACATGCTATTTATCCTAGCACTCTGAGAAGCAGAAGAAGATAGATCTCTGTGAATTAGACCAGTGTGATCCACATAGCAAGTTTCAGGGCTACTTAGAGAGGCCCTGTCACAAAAACAAACAGACAAACAAAAAACAAAAAGAACAAAGGAACAACAAAAAAACTTGCTTTGAAGGTGTGTTTTAAAACTTTCCTGTGTAGCCAGGACTACACAGAGAAACCCTGTCTCGAAGAAAAAAACAAAAACAAAAAACAAAACAAAAAAAACCCAACCAACCAACCAAACAAAAACCTTTCCTGTGAGCTAAGTTCAAGGCCGAGAGTTGTCCTTCACGAGTGAGTGTGAGTATTGTGTGTGTCCTTTCTCTCAGTGAAGTTTAATCCGACCATCTGGTGGCACTGCAAGTCCACCTGCCTTTCTCTTGCTTTTATTTATTTATTTTTCCAAAGCAATTGGCATGTTGGGTTTATCATTTTATCCCTTATTTCCTAGAAAAGACAAGAATTAGAGAACTGGGTGTATTGCCAGCTGTGGCGCTGTTAAGCCTACCTCTGTGAATACTAGGTTAACCTGGTCTATATAGTGAGTTCCAGGCCAGTCAGGGTTACCTAGGAAGAACCTGGCTTTTTTAAAATTTTAATTAATTAAGGAGAAAAAAATACCTGGATGTGATGGCATGCATCTATAATATCGCCACGTGAGAAGCAGAAGAGATTCAGGAGTTCAAGGCCATCCTTGGTTACATATAGAGTCTGAAGCCACTTAGACTCTATGAGGCTTTGTTACGGAAAAAAACACTGGGGAGTCAACACTTGCCTCACAAACATGAGGACCTGAGTTTTATCCCTAGGACTCATGTACAAATGCCAAGGGTGGCGGTAACGTGGGCTGATGACCTCAGCACCGAGGAGATAAAGACCAAAGAGTCCACATGTTTATCAGCTTAATTTGTGGTCCCCAGGCCTGTAAGAGACCCTGCCTCTCAAAGTGGGCAGACTGCCTGAGGTGCTCTTCTGACCGCTACACTTGCATACAAATGTGTGTGTGAACACTCGTACACACACACACACAGAAGCAGATATCATAAGAAAAAAAACCACCTAGGCATAGTGAGTGACTCATGCCATTAACCCCAATACTTGGACGGCAGAGGCAGTCAGATCTCCTGAAGTTTGAGGTCAGTCTGGTCTACATAGTGAGTTTCAGGATAGCCAGAGACCCTATCTTGAAACAAACAAACAAAACCCAAAAGAAACAATATGTGTGAATTAATGGTTTTTTTTTGTTTTTTTTGTTTTTTTTTTTTTTGAGACAGGGTTTCTCGGTATAGCTCTGTTTCTCCTAGAATTAACACTGTAGACCAGGCTGGTCTTGAACTAAGATCCATCTGCTTCTGCCTCTTTAGTGCTGGGATTAAAGGCATGAGTTAATAACAGTAATTTTAAATTATTTTTATTTTATGTGTTTGGGTGTTTGCTTGCGTGTATGTATGTATGTATGTATGTATGTATGTATGTGCATCACCTGCGTGCCTGTGTCTTTTGAAGATCAGAAGAGGGCATCAGATCCTTTGAATAAGAGTTACAGATAGTTGTGAACCTCCATGTGGGCGCTTGAAACCAAACCCTGGTCTTCTGCAAGACCAATCAGTGCTCTTACCCACTGAGCTGCCTCTCCAGGGCTCGTGAGCTAATGAATTTTGTAAGGACTGTACCTTCTGGGCTCCTGTAGCCAGCAAAGGCTCAACAGCAAGTATTGCCAATGACTGGCTAGGCAATCAAGGATGCACAAGGTGCTGCAAGTGGAACGTTCTGTCTGTACTGTCCATGGACACTTGGTCCTGTGATTTCCACCACACAGTGCAGCCCCTGGAAGACAAATTCCTGCTGTTCCACGAACACAAGCCAGGAAGCACATAAGGATATTTCCTACCTGTACCGGTTCAACTGGAACCACTGTGGAACTATGACACCGGAGTGCAAACGGCATTTCATCCAAGACACCTGCCTCTATGAGTGTTCCCCGAATTTGGGACCCTGGATCCAGCAGGTATGAGTGTCCCCCAATGCCAACGGAGTAGCTATGCTCTCCAAATCTCTACAGTCTACGTCTGCAGCTCCGGGCTGCATTTCTGAAGTTCCCGAGTTCAAAACCTTTTACACCCTCTCTTCCTCAGGTGGACCAGAGCTGGCGTAAAGAGCGGATCCTTGATGTTCCCCTGTGTAAAGAGGACTGTCTGCAGTGGTGGGAGGACTGCCGCAGCTCTTATACCTGCAAGAGCAACTGGCACAAGGGATGGAACTGGACCTCGGGTAAGGAGTGGGTGGAGTGGAAGGGATGGGGGTGTGTGCAGCCGTTGTGTGAAGATCTGGGATTTTGAGGTGGGCATAACCAGAGATAGTGCTAGGCACAGTGACTAACGGTCTTCCATCCTCTATACAGGGCATAACGAGTGCCCTGTGGGAGCCTCCTGCCATCCCTTCACCTTCTACTTCCCCACACCTGCTGCTCTGTGTGAGAAAATCTGGAGTCACTCCTACAAGCTCAGCAACTATAGCCGAGGGAGCGGCCGCTGCATCCAGATGTGGTTCGATCCAGCCCAAGGCAACCCCAACGAGGAAGTGGCGAGGTTCTATGCCGAGGCCATGAGTGGTGCGGGGTCTCATGGAGCCTGGTCACCAGTGTGCAGCCTGTCCTTAGTGCTGCTCTGGGTGTTCAGCTGAGTTCCTGCGCCTTCCGTTGTCTGGAGCGTCACCCTGCTTGGCTTAGCCTCCCAGCTCCCAGCCTCCTCTGTGGTGGGGCTCTGACAACCTGTTTAATAAACCAGACATTCCACATGTGCCTTATGAATTATTTGGGTGTGAATGAGAATATATTTATTTTGCTTCCTACTTCCCACTGATTGATTGAAGTTCTTTAAATGTTGTCAGTTCCCAGCTCTGACACTTACTGTGAGCTAGTCTGACACTTGATTTTTCTAAGCTGAGCCACAATCATGGCTTGATGTTATTTTTCATATGAGCTCTAACTTACAGCCAAGCCCAGGATTATACCATCTATCTGTCTATCTGTCTGTGTGTCCATCCATCCATCCATCCATCCAATTAGTTTTGTTGTGGGGGCAGGGCAGGATTTCTCTGTCCTGGCTGTCCTGGAACTTGCTTTGTATACTAGGCTGGCCTCTAATGCATGGAAATCCACCTGCCTCTGTCTCCTGAGTGCTGGGGGGGGGGGTACTGGAGAGATGGCTCAGCGGTTAAGAATACTGACTGCTCTTCCAGAGGTCCCGAGTTTAATTCCAAGCTACCACACAGTGGCTCACAACCATCTGTAATGGGGTTTGATGCCTTCCTTGTGTATGTCTAAAAACAGCAACAGTATACTCACATAAAATAAGTAAATAAGTAAATGTTTAAAAAATTAAAAAAAAAAAAAAAGCATGCACTACCATGCCTGAAAAACTCCTGAGTGCTGGGATAAAAGGTGTCGACCACCATGTCAGTTAAGGATCTTACTGGTTTAAATTGGACCCCAGCAGGGCTAACCACTTTGTTATGTCCTCGGGTCTCTAATGGAAGAGGTAAGAATGAGAGTGTCCAAGCATGTTCTACATGAATGGCTAGGAAGAAGGTAAGGAGGCTGAGGAGAGCCGTACCTTCTATACGGTCTTAAAGTTTCATTTTGAGACAAGGTTTCATGTAGCCCAGGTTAACCTTAAACTCATCTTGAGCTCCTGATCCTCCTGTCTCTATCTCCTAAGTTTTGAGATTACAAGTACCACATCAGACTTCTAAATTTTAAAATTAGTGTGTACTATGTATGTATATGGTGTGTAGTATGTATATATCTGTTTGTCTGTGTCCCTACCAGGGTGTTCATACAGAAGTCAGAAGAGTTAGGAGATCCTTTGGGAGCTGCTATGTGGGTGCTGAGAAATGAACAGGGGTCCTCTGGAAGAGCAGCCAGTGCTCTCAACTGTGGAGCCACCTCTCCAGCCTTTCTGTGGTGGTTTGAATAAGAATGGCCTTCATGTCTTTGAATGCTAAATCACCAGGAAGTGAAACTCTTTAATGAGATTAGAATAGGAGGTGTGGCCTTGTTGAAGCCACACCCCTGTGTGCTCCCAGGGGTGGACTTTAAGGTTCCAAAAGCCAATGCTAAGCTGAGTTCTTTTTTTCTTGGTCTGCAGATCAGGGTGTAGCTTTCAGCTATGGTTTCAGCACCATGCCTACCCCATCATGTTCCTTGCCATGATGATAATGTACTAAATCTCTGAAACTGTAGGTAAACCCTCCATTAAATGCTTTCTAAAAGTTGTCTTGGTCATGGTGTTTCTTCACAGCAATAGAACAGTGACTAAGATACTTCTCCAGCTTTTTTGTTACAGAGTCTCTCCTTGAATCTGGAATTCACCAACTTGGTGAGACTGAAAGTCTCAGTGAATTCCCAGGCTCCATCTGTCTCCCCTTCCCAGTGGAAGGCTTGCAGATTTTCACATGGGTGCTAGAAAACTAAACTAAGGTCCAATGCTTGCATAGCAAGCAATTTACTGCCTGAGCCATTTCACTGGTCTTACAGTAACATGTAAGAAATGTGTGTGTGTGTGTGTGTGTGTGTGTGTGTGTGTGTATGAGAGAGAAGAGAGAGAGAGAGAAGAGAGAGAGAGAGAGAGAGAGAGCGAGAGGGAGTGGTGATGCATGACTTTAATGCCAGTACTCAGGAGGCAGAGGTAGATGGATCTCTGTGTGTTTGAAGCTAGCCTGGACTACAGAGTGAGTTCCAGGACAGCTAGGGCTACACACAGAGAAACCCTGTCTTCAGGGGAAAAAATATGTATGTTTGCGCACAGGCAGGTGCCTATGTATAGACACATGGGCTTGTGGGGGTATCCTTGGAGATAGAGACCAGAAGAGAAGATCCTTGGATCTCCTGGGCTAGAGTGACAGGCAGTTGTGAGCCACCTGCTGTAGGTCCTGACCTGGGTCTTCTGGAAGAACAGCGAGTGCTCTAAAGGGGCATCTCTAATGGAGGCATCTTTCCACCTGGTACAGTAACATTTCTAATAATCTAGAAGTTTAGTATAACTAACATTTATATCTGGTTTCAGACCCAGGGACAAGGGACCCTATTTTACCTATCAGAGCAGACTTGGCCTCCAAGTTCTCCCAGCATCCCTCAGTCCCTACCTGCTACCCCCTGCCCACAACCTTGAACTTTCCAGCCCAGGGATTGGGCTGCCCCTCCCCCAGAGGCAGGACCCTATATAAGCCACACATTTTGGTCTCTCCTCTCTCTGTGCCTGCCCTTTCTCTCTTTCCCCCACCTACTTTCCCCATGGCAACTTCCCTGGCCTCAGTCTTTGGGGCCATTGAACTGCCCAAGAACAGCTTCCCAAAAAACTTGCCTTTAAATCTAATCTAATCTGGTTTGAATTGGCTCACTTCACGGGCAGCGGAGAAATAACCTATCAATTTATTTCTTGATTAAGCTACCATGCTGCTATGGATTGTTAGGGACCTTCTGCTATTTAATTCTGTTCCCAGGGTGACAGACAAGGGGAGTGATTCTATCTTATCACACACTCCATGAGATAAGAGAACGTGAATTCTGTACAAGTCCTACACACTTCCACCCATCAGCTACTTCATTAGCTAAATGAAATCTTGACCAACTCTAAAATCCAGGGAGTCTAGAAAGTATCATAATCCTATCATGTTCCAGAAGGAACAGAATCACCAGGTCTGTCAAACAATCTATGGCCACTTCAAAGACTTTCCTATCTTAGAACTAGTTCATACTTCTGGATGAGTGTGTTAGTCTTTTTGTCTGTGACAGAATAACTGAGAAAACAGCTTCTGGGAAGCTGATGTAATCTGGCTTGCAGCTTCAGAGAGTTCCACTGTTTCTGTACTGTGCTGAGGCAGAACTTCAGGGCAGTAGAAACATGTCCCAGAAGAAGTGGATCACTATGAATTCTGGTGGTCAGGAAGTATAGAGCAAGTGAATAGTTGTGTTCCTTCAGCGTGTGCCCCCAGAGACCTGCTCCCAGCTAGCTGAAGTCTCACGGTCCTTCCTACCACCTCCTAAAAGAAACATTGGGTTATTTGTTTTGCAGTTTGTTTTGAGACAGACTCTCACTCTGTAGCTCAGACTACCCTAACATGTAGCACAGGCTGGCCTTGAATGCACAACAATCCTCCCTCAGCCACCCAAGTCCTGAGATTCCAGATGTGAGCCACCGTGTCCAGCTTGCCGTCATGTTATTAATATATCAGTGCACGAGTTCACTGATTAGGTCAGAGCCAATACCATCTAATCCTTCCTCAGTAGAACTAATAGAAGTCCAAGTTTTAAACATGATTCTTTTCTTCTTTTTAAAATTAATTTTTATTTCTTTGAGAGAAGGCCTTACTATATAGCCCTAGCTGGCTTGTATGCAGGCCTAGCTAGTCTCAAATTCACAAAAAAAATCTGTCTGCCTCTGACTCAGAGGTGCTGGCATTAAAGCTTGCTCCACTACACCTGGCCCAATTTGTTTTTTATTTATGTGTGTATGTATGACTGCATGAATTTATGTGCACCATATGAGTGCAGGAGGCCAGAAGAGAGGTCAGGTGGCCTGGAACTGGAGTCACAGCTGGTTGTGATCGACCAAGGAGTGAGGTGTAAGGAACCACACTCCAGTCCTCTGGAAGAGCAGGGATACTTTTAACCATTCAGTCATCTCTCCAGCCCCAAGTTACTCATGTGACTTTTCAGTGGAATCCCAGGGAGGAGGGCTAGCTCCATGAACCTATGTAAATGACTATATCAACATGTTTTAAAAGCAGAGTAATCCCCTGGTAACCACCCTAGTCTTGTAACAAGCCTGGTGGATAGCACTGGAAAAATGGAGACAGTCTAATCTCTGAGTTTGAGGCCAGCTTGCCTGGTCCCTATAGCAAGTTCCAGGTCAACCAGAGCAATATAATGAGATCCTGTCTTAAAAAAATAAGAACAAGGGGGTGGGCTTGGGGGGTGGAGAAAAGGGAGGCAGAGTGGCAATTGGCCCAGGAAGAACTCTGTTCTCAGAGTAGGCTGTAGACAAATCCAGTTGAGACGTTTAGGGGAACTGCCCACTGACCAAGGACTTTTTAAAAAGAGAATGTTTATTCCAGCTGGCACAAGTATAGCCTGCTAAATTGAGGGTTATAGACCAGAGCCAGGGGAAAAAAGACTATCATATGACTAATCAAAAAAATATATATATATGAAGTACATTACCCAAAATAACAAGATGATAACCACAATCTCATCTCTCTCATTATGTTGACTCATTTCTTTAAAATTATTTATTGGGTAAGCATCTAAGCATCTCTCTCCATGTCTTTTGCCTAGAGGCTGGAAGGTTTCTGAAAACCCAAGTCTCAGGCCTCAAAGAGTTTGATTCATCCAAGTGTTAGTTTAAGGCAGTGATGTCAGTTGTATGAGTTTGTTTCCTGTCAGTAAACTGTGGGAGGGATCTTTAGGTAGACAGGAGAAGAGAAGAGAAACCACCTAGTGATAATTTCCAATATCAGAGCAAAAAGAGGCCAGGGAGTGGTGACTCCCTTTAATCCTAGTTCTCTGGAGGCAGAGACAGACGGATCTCTGAGAGTTTGAGGCTAGCCTGGTCTACAGAATGAGTTCTACAACAGCCAGGGCTACACAGAGAAAAACCCTCTCTTGAAAAACAAAACAAAAAAAGAAAAGAAGAAGAAGATAGGAGGCTTAGTGTTCTCTCATCCAATTCAACCAACTTATTATTACCTTCTTTTGGTTTTTTTTTTTTCCCCCGTAGACCAAGTCTTGTTTTTATTGCTTAAAAAAAGCTG